ATGAAAACTCATTGAATGAAAACTCATTGTATGAAAACTCATTGTATGAAAACTCATTGTATGAAAACTCATTGTATGAAAACTCATTGTATGAAAACTCATTGTATGAAAACTCATTGTATGAAAACTCATTGTATAAAAACTCATTGTATGAAAACTCATTGTATGAAAACTCACTGTATGAAAACTCATTGTATGATTGTACGAAAAATTAGAAGACCGTTTCTCGACCCCCGGACCCGAGGTTCACACTTCACCATATTAAAAGTAAGGGAATTTAAATATTTACTTTTTCTGCTGATCTTTTCATAGCATTTTTTTCTATCTCATCTCTCTGTTCATTTAAGTTCCCCCCCCCCCTGTTAATTTCCTCATGTGATGCTTCTAGTTGTGCTTCTACTTAATTTTGGTCAGCTTTTGCGGTTAACGGGTCTTGTGCAAGTCTTTGGCACAGCCATCCTATGGCAACGGCGTACCGTGCGAGGGCACAGGTCGCACACCTTAAAAGGCCGGCGTTGAAATTAGATGCTTTGCCAGTAGCGTATGAGGGGTGGGGGGTACTCTTTTCTTATACTCAAGGGCGGCATTTTCTTTTTTTTTTTGTGTGTGTGGAAAGGGGCGGCAAATTCCTCGGCTCACTCCGGGCAGCACTGACCCTTACCTAAGCGCTTTTGCCCTACATATAGGTAATCAGTCTTATATGTCCAATAATGCTATTCATTTTAAAATCCTTCATATCAGCGGTTCTCAACCTGTGGGCCACGACCCCTTTTGGGGGTCGCACGACCCTTTCACAGGAGTCGCCTAAGACCATCTGAAAACACAGATAGTCTACTGTTAAAAAGTATCAACGAATATAATTTTGTGGATGGGGGGTCGCCACAACGTGAGGACCCGTATTAAAGGGTCGTGTCATTAGAAAGGTTGAGGACCACTGCATTATATCAACTTCGCTTTTGATCGTGCGTTTCTTTCTTCAGTATGGGTGTGTGGAAAAAATATTTGAACAGCTAACTGACCCCCTTCCCGTCAACCTATTGTGCTGAAACTTGGCACATACAGCCTACCCGTTGTCGATGACAACTAATCCATCAATTTATTCAGCCTCCTGTCCCATATCAGTTTTTCCATGGGAAGATAAAAGAAATCTGCACCGATTTCATGAAATAAAATTCCCGATAACTGCGGTAGGCCCTAAATGAGATTCTTAAAAATATTGCAAGTGCGTTTGGGTGCGTAATAGTTTCTTGTGAATTTTTGAAATAGTTGGTTGTAATAAATCTGCGGTGTAAAAGCGGTTGAGGTCATTAGATTAGCATATTATTATAGATCAGGGGCGGAAAAAAATGTGCGGTTGCGAGCCTGGGGGGGGGGGGGAGCACTGATTGGAATTCTTATAAAGTGCGTTACTTGAATGCAGGGCTGGTAGTGGGGTGAAATGTTGATTTTTTTTTCTTCAAAAATATTGTTTCAATGTGAAGCCAAACCCGTGTTGATATTTTGTAAGTACGGTACTGTGATTTGTCCGCCTGAAGCTGCATTAGAAATAATTATTTTTTTTCATTTTTAAGAGAATAAAAAATGTACCAAAGGTTAAAGTGACAGGTGGTGACATAAACTAAGAAAGCTGGCATGGGAATTTATGATCTTTGTGGTATGAGGTAACAATAAACTAAGATAACTGGCTAGGGATTTAGGATCTTTGTGGTATGAGGTAACAATAAACTAAGATAACTGGCTAGGGATGTATGATCTTTGTGGTATGAGGTAACAATAAACTAAGATAACTGGCTAGGGATGTATGATCTTTGTGGTATGAGGTAACAATAAACTAAGATAACTGGCTAGGGATGTATGATCTTTGTGGTATGAGGTAACAATAAACTAAGATAACTGGCTAGGGATGTATGATCTTTGTGGTATGAGGTAACAATAAACTAAGATAACTGGCTAGGGATGTATGATCTTTGTGGTATGAGGTAACAATAAACTAAGATAACTGGCTAGGGATGTATGATCTTTGTGGTATGAGGTAACAATAAACTAAGATAACTGGCTAGGGATGTATGATCTTTGTGGTATGAGGTAACAATAAACTAAGATAACTGGCTAGGGATGTATGATCTTTGTGGTATGAGGTAACAATAAACTAAGATAACTGGCTAGGGATGTATGATCTTTGTGGTATGAGGTAACAATAAACTAAAATAACTGGCTAGGGATTTATGATCTTTGTGGTATGAGGTAACAAAAACTAAGATATCTGGCTAGGGATTTATGATCTTTGTGGTATGAGGTAACAATAAACTAAGATAACTGGCTAGGGATTTATGATCTTTGTGGTATGAGGTAACAAAAACTAAGATATCTGGCTAGGGATGTATGATCTTTGTGGTATGAGGTAACAAAACCTAAGATATCTGGCTAAGGATGTGTAGCATAAGTAGGCAAAAAACTAAGATTTATGGTTTGGGAATCAGGGATTGAATAGAAAACTTCAAGATGCCATGCCCTACATTGAAATTGAAGCCGCTAGTCAACCTACTGAAATGTTAACTCCATGTAACGGGTACTTGATGTTTTTTGATAAGCTGACCCCACTCAATAAGGAAACTCAAGTTTCTTTCTCATTAAACTTTACTTAATTTTTTTTTTTTTTAAAATTTGAAGCAAGGCTCATAGGCAAAGACCTTGACGAGCCACTTATGAAAGTGGTGACTCACCGGACACACTCATCTGTTCATACCAAGTGTTTGTATGAATCAATGTCACCCAGGTTTTGGACACATACGAAGTGTTCGTAAGAATCAACGTCTCCCAGGTTTTGGACACACACAAAGTGTTTGTATGAATCAACGTCTCCCAGGTTTTAGACACATACAAAGTGTTTGCATGAATCAGCATCTCCCAGGTTTTGGACACATACGAAGTGTTCATAAGAATCAACGTCTCCCAGGTTTTGGACACATACAAAGTGTTTGTATGAATCAATGTCTCAGAGGTTTTGGACACATACAAAGTGTTTGTATGAATCAATGTCTCCCAGGGTTTGGACACATACAAAGTGTTTGCATGAATCAATGTCTCACAGGTTTTGGACACATACAAAGTGTTTGTATGAATCAACGTCTCCCAGGTTTTGGACACACACAAAGTGTTTGTATGAATCAACGTCTCCCAGGTTTTAGACACATACAAAGTGTTTGCATGAATCAGCATCTCCCAGGTTTTGGACACATACGAAGTGTTCGTAAGAATCAACGTCTCCCAGGTTTTGGACACATACAAAGTGTTTGTATGAATCAACGTCTCACAGGTTTTGGACACATACAAAGTGTTTGCATGAATCAACGTCTCCCAGGTTTTTGACACAAACAAAGTGTTTGTATGAATCAACGTCTCCCAGGTTTTGGACACACACAAAGTGTTTGTATGAATCAACGTCTCCCAGGTTTTGGACACATACAAAGTGTTTGCATGAATCAACGTCTCCCAGGTTTTGGACACATATTACAAAGAATGATGAGATAACTTCATGATCCATGAAAAAGTTCACATAAAAAAGCAACGAAATCAATTGATGATATTTACACCAAAACAAAAAACACAAAAAAAAAAAACAACTTCATAACAGTACAACTTTATGAAAGCTTTTGTGAGTACAGTGGAACCTCTCATAACAAGTAATTTGCATAACAAGCAAAAAAAAAAAAATGTGAAGAAGTTGCTCCCTTAACGAGCGACATTTCGCATTACGAGTTACACGAAAAGGGTAAGTCCCTTTTTCCCTCACTTTTGCTTGGAAAAATCTTTGGCCAGAGAGTGTTGTTGAATGTGATTTGGAAACAGCACCCGTGGAGTCTACAGTTAACGAGATTGTGTCATTGGCCAATATCATGGGACTCGAGGTGGACAACAACGATATTGAAGAGCTTGTGAAAGAGCACAGTCAAGAGTTGACCACCGAAGACCTTATGGAGTTGCATCGTGTTTCACAGCAAAGAAATTATGGAGGAGAGCTCATAAATGGAGGAGGAAGTAGCAGAGCTACAATCTTCTAGCGCAATGAGAAATGCTGAAAGCAAGGGAAACTGTTGCATCGTACATTGAGAAGCATCACCCTAATAAGGAGGTGGCCATTCGTGCTACAAATTTATTCAATGATAATGCTGTGACACATTTTCGTCAAATTTTGTAGCGTCGGCAAAAACAAATGTCTTTAGACAGTTTTCTAGTTAAAAAGGATTATTTGTCATAAATTCATATTTTTATTTACGTTTTTTGTTTCAAATCTAAATTGTATTCTAAGTTGTTACACTCCTTAACAATTCATAAGTAATTTTATTTGAATTAATGTTAATAACATTTTTTGAAAAATGAGTATTTTTTCACTATGGAACGCATTATCGTATTTTACATTGATTTGTATGGGAAAAATTGTTTCGTTTAACGAGTGTTTCGCTTAACGAGTATGATTCTGGAACGAATTATGCTCGTCATGAGAGGTTCCACAGTACTATCCACTATGTGTTTTAAACATAGCTACCTATCATTCACTGCATGACTATCATCAACTACACTTGTTTACCTATACTTTTATTATGACAATCATATTTTTTGTGAACAACTTCACATAGTCAATAATGTGCTCTTTCACCATCAAACATTATCAGACAGGAGATCAGCATTGTTTTTGTTTCCCTTGGTGTCATCAACAGGACAATTTACTGTAAGGACATCATGGTGCTATAATCAATAGAATCAAACAGGAAATTTCACTGAGGACATCATGGTGCTATAATAAACAGGACATTTCACTGAGGACATCATGGTGCTATCATCAACAGGACATTTCACTGAGGACATCATGGTGCTATCATCAACAGGACATTTCACTGTAAGGACATCATGGTACTATAATCAATAGGACATTTCACTGTGAGGACATCATGGTGCTATCATCAACAGGACATTTCACTGAGGACATCATGGTGCTATCATCAACAGGACATTTCACGGTGAGGACATCAAGGCACTATCATCAACAGGACATTTCACTGAGGACATCATGGTGTTATCCTCAACAGGACATTTCACTGTAAGGACATCATGGTGCTATCAACAATACATTTTACTGTGAGGACATGATGGTGCTATCCTCAAAAGGACATTCCACTGTGTGGCCCATACTGTACAATACTTGCAAGCCAGAACGAAAGCTCTAGGAAAAAAAAGGAGAAAAACTAAATTGAGTCTTCCATGTTAATCATGGGTGAGTGGCGTGCAATGTACTGGTACAAAAAAAACAAGAGAACCAACATATTTTTCAAAAAAAAAATGATCAAATAAGGAGACGTTAGAAAAAGATAGTTACACCAGACCTAGTGCGCACATATTCGAATATCACAAGCTAACCAGCAAAAGGGTAAGTGAGATTTATGAATGTGACGTTTGGGTTTCAAGATTTCATCAATATTTAGTTTCCAAGTACTGCATCCAATCAAGAGAATTGTTTTCAAATGTTTATCAGTCATTCTCGTTCGATGTATTGACTTCACATATTTCATTTTTGAAAATTTTTTCCCACAGACATGTTATTCCAAACACTGATGCCATACCAGCGGCAAAGTTCTTTAGTTTCTGAAACTCATTAGGTTAGCAGTGCCAATATCCAACAAGTACTCATTCTCTCTAGGTAAACATACGTTTTATCAAGCAAATTCAAGTACCATCAGGGGGGGCGAGATGAAATGGCCTCGAGGGCCGGAACAGTCCACACCTACAGTAATTTTTATACAGGAGTGTATATTTGACTCAGACAACCGAGCGCGCTGTATCATTTTCACTATCTCTATCAACTTTTTAAGGAATAATGAAGGAGAGAAAACCGAGGCACGAAATGTCAAGGGACTTCTGCACTAAATTAATCAGATTAGTTCAACTGCATACATTTCCTTCTCTGACTTCACCACCGAGAATCAACTTAAATAATCACAAAACTTCCACTCAAATGTTTATATTTCGGTTCAGTTTGATACATTTATGTGGCTTTAAGATCTCGCATATTTCAATCTTTCAAATGTACATAGTAAAACGAATGTTCAATGGTAGCATTTTTTCTCCTCCATTTCCTTTCATATATTTTGAATGTCAATATAATTTTAGAAATATTGCAAGGCAATAAATAGGTTAAGCAATCTCTTTCTATCACAAATTTTACTTTATTGATTTAATAATACATTCATTGTTACATAAATACATACATCCTATACATTTTTTGTCTCTGTCCCATCTTAGACATTGTCTTTACTAAAAATATGAATACTTTCAATAACAAAAATGTCTTCATCAAATACACTATTGCAAACTCACATTTCAACCCTAAGAGACATCACAAACACAGGTGTTGAAACACATTTCACACTTTCGTGACCTAAAACACATTTCTCAACAAATTTATACATTCAATAAAAGCGAATCACATTTATGACTTTGTTTCTTGTCCCAGACATCTCAAAATCAGAAGCTACCAGAAAATCTTGGTTACATCTAAACAAGGTCTTCCGATAGCCGACTTGCTTCAGTCCAAGAAAAAAATATTGTTCAGATATGTACTGCAAAGCCTCTTAACTTCCTCTGTTTAAAAAAATAAAAAGAAAGAAATAAAAAACATTTGATATTTGGAAAAATCTATAAGTAGTTGAAACCAGATCTTTCAAATTATGATAATGGTAACATTGTATGACTTCCTCTAATTTTGTTACTTTTTGAAAAATAACACAGGACTTTCAAATAATAAATTTCAGAAAAAATAAAATTTAAAAAATGTGTCAGAATATGCTATTGGTTAAGGTCACTTTATGAAGGCAAATTGATTTTTATAATAAAAAAAAAAAAAGAAAAAAGGAGAAATTATAATGTTTATTTTTTTTTTTTGTTACAAAGTTTATTGCATTTATTTATTTGTGACTAAAACACATGTATACAATAAAGGGGCTTGTTTTCTTGAATACTATCTAGTTTAACTATTACAGGAAGGAATGTAATTGTATTATAAAAATAATTAATTAAAACACCTGGCTTGGATTGACCGGTACGAGGTACCACAAAGAAACAAAAATCTGGTCATTTAATTTTCCACAATTTTAAAATACATAAATATAATTATCTGGCTTTCAAGATTCCAAAATTATTTTTGTGACAAAATAAAATAAAACGATTTCTCCAATTCATCCAAGTTCATAATTATAATTTGTAATCAATATGCCTTTGAGAACACGTTCCACGCTGCAGCCGATTTGTCATTCTGGTGCGTAAGTGCCGTACTTTGTAGGTTGGTATCCAAAGGGTTAAAATAAAGTTGTAAAATGCAATTTGTCTACAGTAAGAAATTTTCACCATTTAAATAATATATATTCCATATAATTAAAGCTGACAAAGACATTACCATTAATCTCTATAAGGTTTGCACTGCGCTGATTGATGACAACATAAAACTCCCTTTGGTCAGACTTTTTGCCTACAACCCAGTAGTCAGTAGTTGTTTTCACTATAGTTTCCCCATCTTCATTACCTCTGTAACATGGCACAAGAAAGAATCATTAAACAAAAATGGTGAATATGTGCATATTTCAGAATATTAATTTTTAATTTTTTTGATTCCCATCAGCCAATCAGTTTCCTCCAAAATAATTATTTTCACAAATGAAAGAAGTACTATTTTACATATTTCATTTTTTTTACAATTTTATTGTGGTATCATTTGCAAATTTCTTTAATATTTTAACTGTCTTTTTATATTTTATCGGAAGTTTAATGCCATATTTTTTACTCATAATTTATTTTTTTAGATTTTTTAAAAGAAAAATGAGCTCAAAATCCAAATGTGAATTTATTACTTAAATAAAGAGTAAAGAAAAACAAGTTGATGTCTCTCTGATTAAATAATTTAGGTCTACGTCTTATTTCTATTATTGCTATACAGTTTTACAACATAGGGGCAATGTTGTTTTAGTGATACTTTAAAACCCAACTTTGTTTTTAAATTAACTTCCAACAAAAATAATATTACAGCCCCCATTCTGTATATTTTAAAATGATAATTTAAAGAAAATCTCTCAACGTCAAATCAATATACAGAAAAAGGGCTTAGTACCTATGAATTGAAATAGAATAACAGAGCAGGTAAAGTTAAAGAGATGCACACTTTTTAAGCACTTACTTAACTCACCCAGTTAATAAAAAAAAGTACCAGTGGAAAATTAAAAAATAATATTTCAAAAATAAATAAAAGAAAAGTAGTTAAATTATTACTTTGTGAGATCTGCATTGATATCTCCCAAAAGGCGTAAGATGTCAGGAGGAATGTTGACCCCGGACCTCTTCTGAAGGTCAATATGCACAGTTGTCTGTTGGGCCAGGTTCATGTGGTTGAAATAGACATATTTAAAAACTGGTTCTGCAGAGCTATGGACACAAATAAATTAATTGATTTATAAAAATATGATTTAGAGAGTAAAACTGATTAGGGTAAATCTTTATATTCAGTTTCTAGTTTACTCTATGATGGACCATTGCATAAATATTGGTTTATTTAAGTTTAAACAGTCATTTAATGAAATATAAAGTCTATTAATTCACTAAATGTCTATTGTGTAGTAATTTGGGGCGCTGGCGAAAATTGTGTACCTAAAAACTCCAAGCACACGATACAAGTAAAATTGTGCGTAAAAGTTGCATTGAAAAAGGTTTCTTTAAGTATTGTAGAGAAACTAAAATTTATTGAAAAGTTTAGATTCTGGTGTCTCTGTGGCCAAAAGAATAGCTGAAGATAGATGCTTTACAATGAAATGTTGAAAGCACTTTTGCCATTAGAAAGTTTCAGTTGATTAATTTGACTCAAACCTGGAAGGGGCTGTACAAATAATTGTTATGAGCAGCAACACTCATTCTTTTATTTATAAATTTCTCCTTGATTAAAAGGAATTTTTATGACATAGACCTCAGCCGTTCTTTAGTGCGAGTAATTGAGATTTGTTAGTCATTGGATGTGTTAAAAATTCTGTCCTCACTTTAAAGATGCTACTCTTCTGCTGTACTGTTCTCCTATATCTGATGCCAACTTGGTCATCTGAGGACCCAACATAGCATCCAGCTTTCGACATAGCAGCACATTTAGAGGACTTCGCACTGACAAAAATTTTGTATTATAATATGCATCATAGAGAATTGAAACTAAACTTGATTTCAATGATTTTTTTTCTACACAGGACAAAAACTGAAATAATGTACAAAGCCTGAATTTAAGGAAAGTATTCTAGTAGAAAAAACAAAAAATTATAAAATAATAATTTTTTGCCCATGTTTTTAGATCTAAAGAAGAGTTTTGTAAATGTCAATAAAAACAAATTTAATTTGGTAAACAAATACTATTCAATCGATCAGCAAATATACTAAAATTACCATTTGTCAACAAAAATACACAAATGACCAATGAGTAGCTAATATTACTCAACTGACTATTATAGAATACTGTTAAAATTACCATTGACAAGTAGACATATAGTAGCACTGAGAGCAGTATACACTATGAGGTAGCATTCTTCATCAATTTCCTCTGTGTTGACATAGACCCGAGGAAGTTTCCCCATGTTGCGCTCATCATTGAGATCTGGGGGCCCTGTCATAAACCTATATCCAAGTATACAGTTATAAATTAAATATGAAGACCTAACTTATCAAACTTTAAATGCTTTCAGACCCGTTTACCCTCAAACTCCTAAAATCGTACAATATTGTCTCAAAAATCATACAATACAATAACTTAATAGTATATAAATAAACATATAATATATATAATGTATACAATATACAATAACTAGGCCTACTCGCATCACGTGTCTAGCTGGATCAAGTTGAGCTGATATTAAAAAAAGGGAACTTCTAAAAGTAGATGATATTACAGCCTTAAAACTGCCAAAAGCTGTAAAGGGGTGAAAGGAAGAGAGAGGATTAAAAATCGTAAAGCTGTTATCTGCGTTCTAAAAACATTTTTCAAAGGCCCTCTCAGATCCTATTAAGTATGTCGAAATGGAATGTTGCTGCGTGTAACAGTTGAGAATGCATTCTCTAGTGTTTTCTTTTTTTGCACTCAGGGCTGCTCAACTGTAAGAAATACTTGTCACAAAATCACGCCATACAGCGACAATGCAAACAAACGTGAGGGGCCATCTCAATGGTACGACATACCGGTATAGAAAAAAAAATCCCCCCCCCCCCCCCCTTTCCACTTGTTGCATAGGTAATTATTTTTTTTACGACACCCCCCATCTCTATTTTTCTATATGGGTTGCTGCAGCTTGCTCCCAGGGGCGTTGAGAAATATTACTAAATTTTAATAAATTTATTTCCACTTTTTAATTCAATATGACATCTAGTGTTTGTGGTTAAAGCAGTAACCCACTTGAGTAAATAATGTTTGCAGTTACTAGATGGCGCTTAGTGACCTACATACATGTTATATTTATTTTTATCCAACCCTTTATTTTATTTTGTTAATTTATTTTGCTATTTTGAAATGTACTTGTAAGAATTTAACACAGGGAGCCTGTTGAAAACCTGAATTTGGCATAGGTGCAAGGAAACGAAAATTTCAGAAGCACTGGCGTTGCCCAACAAAATATACGTCACAACTCACAAGCACGTTGGACATAGGATGTACTATAAATTACTGAAACACCTCTACTGCTTAATACTATGTGAATATATCTAGCGAGTTCATTTGTGAAAATACATAGTCACATTGTTATGATAATTCCTACAAAACAATGTGAGATAAATTTACAGAATTCGCGATATAAGTATGTTATTTTTAGAATTTCAGAGTTTCATTAGAATAGCATACACAATTTCTAACGAGACCCCCCCCCACCACTCTACCACATGCAAGCGCAGCCAAAGTCTTCAAAATCAACAAGTTCCTCCCCCAACTCAGTGCGTACGGTACATTATATAAGGATGGCCCCGGACGGACTAAAATGGTCACTAGGGCGACTATGCTCATATTACTCTTGCCGTGTTCAACGAGTTCATTATGAAAAAACAACGCAACAATATGACCATCACCACTATCATTACAAAATGTGGCGGTGTTAATTTTATAGACTTAAATATTTAGACACTCCTTCCACCGGTACACGCACAATCTCTTAAATCAACACCACTCCATTCTCCTGTCAGGGCAAACGTAATATAAATTTAGATGGTCCCCAACAATCGTATTTCTCGATCCATTCACCGCTGGATGAAGAATGCAAATGCAAGATAAAACTAACAACCTTTTAAAAAAATGTTCTTTTTAATTAATGTATTGGTTTTTTTTAATCGGAAAAAATAAAGGAATATATTTTCAACCGGGTCTCTTAAAATCGTAGTTCTGACAGGCCTTGGTGTACAATCAAAATCGTACATTGTACGCCATAATCATAAGACTAAACAGGCCTGTGCTTTGGATTAGTGGTTCTATGTAACTTATCGGTTTGATTTACTTAGCTAGGTACACAATCCAATTAATATAATGACTGACCTCCCAAAGTGACCAAATCCACTGGGAGGCCGGCCCTGTCCATGCAACTCTTGTTCCAGGTAGGTGGGGAAGAGACTGGATGTCAGGTATTTGTACATGATCCTCATGTCTTCCTGCTCCAAGCCACTCCTGATGAAAACAACACATAACTTATAAATATGGTGATCTGTTGTTTGCTGCTCCATGGTGTTTACTGTTAGTGCACCGTAGAATAAAATGTGGACATGGGCCAAAGTGTCCTTCACAGGGCAATGGAAGTATATTAACATGCTAGGTGCACAAAATAGAAGTGCTATTGAAATATATTACTGCAGTGTATTGAAATATGAAAAATTGATTTTTCACCATGAAATAATGGGCCTTAATTGATTTCTCTGAAGTTATAAAAAGAAAACCTTTTTTATGTTTGTTTTACTTTTCTGTTTTTGTTCTTCTTCAGGAACTAATAAATTTCAGTAAATGACACCGTAACAATTTTATATTTAAAATAAAAATGCACATCATGGCTTAAGACAACAACTAGTTTAGAGACATCCAAGAATGAAAAATCTAGAACATGACATTTATAGAATTAAAACTTTTTTTGAATGTCTTTCAAAAATGACAAAAGTGATCACCAACTAAAAGGAAAATATTACAGAAACAATTTTATTGAACATATCCAGGTAGAAATTATAAAGAGGAAAAAAAATTAAAATTTAGGAACAAATTTCACTAACTTAAACCGATGTTCCAAGTAATTTATCAGAAGAATATAAATAAAAAATATCTGACGGCTAATAGCAAAATACACAAATTTTGTTTAATCCTCATTTGACCAATAATCAAAGTACTGGTATTTTGAAAAACTATAATATTTGATATAAGTAGAAGTAAAAAGAATTCTTTAAGAAAATATTTTTCTCATTCAGATTTTCATTAAAGGAGTTTAAGTATGTTCATAATCTTGTTTGCTCCAAGTCTTTCCTGAATAGCTCGTTATACAAGATAGTGGTACAGGTATTTTGATACTGTTTAAACACTATACCACAATTTTTTTTAATGGAATATTATTATTGGAAGTGTCCAATATTTTAATAACCATAATCATATATTAGTTCAAAAGCATTGTATTAGCCATATCAAAATAAATTCCATCAATAACATGAGAACACATATACAGTGCAACACACAAATCTGAAAATATCAAGACTATATACAAAATAATGTTAAATTATTTGTTTTGGCATACTTGTATAGACATTTGTGTTATCTGCCTCTACATTTGTAAAGCCTACCAGACGAGTTTCTCATTGTAGAGAAATGCTGTATACTTGATAAAGGGGAATGTTGCCTCGAGACTGTTGATAAAACATTGGATACGTAAGTATGTGTTCTTGTCCAGAGGAAGAAAATGGATACCGTTAAAGATGTCCAGTATATCTCCTTGTGCAATTTTTAATGTCAACAAATACTGGAGAAGAGAATTTAAGGTAACAAACATCAAACTATGACTAAAGTAAAAACGTATAAATACTTTAATTAGTTTTAAAATTAACTACTCTTAAAAAATAACGACACCCATAATTATATTTTCTTCAATCTACATAGATCAAATTTAAGGAAACTATGGAACATACTTAGGTCTTACAGAAATATAATGGGGATAGACTGGAATCACGTCAGTAAAATTTGTTTAATAAACATAAATTACAGTGAAGGATGATGTGTGGCAAAACCGAGTACATTTCTGCAGACAGGTTTTATCAGCAGACAAAAAAAAAAAAGATGAAATTAATGCATAATAAATAACGGGTGTATAATTAGGTCATGAATTGTTTTAACCCTATTTCATATTTTGCAAGCTCGTATCTGAATGGTAGAGATCACTTCAAAGCCATACATTACTTGCAGAGACAATGTGCAATGGACTTAGGTTAAAAAAGTATATACATTGCATTTAATTTAATGTATTTTATCATGTCAGTTAGTGTTCTATGAAAGTTTACAGAGGCTGAGAGTTGCTTGCTTACCTTGTTGTAGAAATGTTCAAGTCTTTGCTTCAATAACTCCACCTCTCCATTGGCTCGGTTTAATATGGTCGTAAATGTTCCGTTGAAGAGCTAAAAATAAAGAAGTGGAGAGTATAGAAACATATTAATAACACACAACTGTATCAGTTTGATGGAAAGGATAAAAAGGAGGATTAAAGGCGACGATAGATAGATTTAAAAAAAAGTTATATCATTAGCTACTGTAGAAGTGATTGGGGGGGGGGGGGGGGGGGGGTTGTGGGAGGTAAGGACTGATAAACAATGTGCAAAAAAAAATGTCCTCACTTTAAACATTTTGTAGGCTTGTCTAAGGATTGATTCAAACACAGAGTCCTGGACGTGATCCTCTCTATACTCTGTAACATTCTGTCCATCCTTCACTTTTTCTTTGAATGGTATAGACACTGTCTGGATATGGTACACAAGTTAAATCAATATTTACATCTAACCAGAAAAATAGAACAATATAAAGATTAAAAAAAAAAAATAACACCCAGTAACTCAGCTCAAAGCATTATCTTTCATTGAAATGTATTTTCAGGCAAATCTACATATTTTGAAACAGCAGGATACATTTTTAAAAAGATTAACATCAACATAAATTTTAATATTTTACCATTATCATCCAAAAACAACTTTCTGGTTCAAAAAAGACTTGTCTGGCCTTCTGGGTGTGAAGACTCTGACATGGCTTGTCAGAAAATGTTCTGAGAAGTTTACAAAAATTTGATTCAAGAATGCTCATGTTGCCATAAGTACAAATAAATATACATTCCATTGTATGTGTTATAGTTGATTAATTCCCATTAGAATCTTTCTTGCCTTTGTTTTTTAAGTTAACTGTTGACATTTTAGAAACACGAAATGCGTTGCAAGCTAGAAATTATTATAATCTTAACCCTTTTGGTGTAATCAAAACTCGGCAAACTTAAGTTGGAATTTTCAACAAAAATGTCAAATCAGTCCTCCACCATGGAGCCGAAACAGCAAGCATCAAGCAGAAGGTAAGTACTTTCACAAACACTTGCATTAGAAAGATCCTGAACATAAAATGTCCAAACATCATCACCAACAATGACTTACTGGAGAGGACATACCAAGAGCCTTTCGGTGAAGACATCAAAAGTATAAGATAGAGGACACCAGACAATCTCTAACATGGAACCCACAGAGATAAAGCAAGAGAGGGAGGCCTAAGAACACATGGAGACACAAGCTAAAAGCATTAAACACAAAGTATGGGATACACCTGGAAGCAAATGGAAAGGAAAGCACTGGGCTGAGAGGAATGGAAAACTTTTGTAGATGACCCATGCTGGGGTGCAAGGCATAAGTTTTCCCCATTCTCATATCTATAATGTGGCCCCTTCACAACGGTTACAGTCGAATCTCACCGACTAGTACAGTTCTGATTTTTATTAAGTTTGTATAGACTTGGACATTGATTATAATGGTAAAAACAGTTTTAAAATCGGACAAAACGTTTTTATTTTATAGCTTTTTATGAGACAAATATGGACAAAGTGCAATTTTGAGAAAACTTTTAAAAGTCAGTTGGTGGGTAATGCACAACATAATTGTGTAAATCATAGCTATCTGACACAGTATCAAAGAATCCCTATTAAAATTGCCACTAGTGTTATCGAGTAATAGAAATTCCGAGCCTGTCAGCTTGGTTACTTTCAAAATAGGGTTAGTCAAAAAGACGTTTTCTACGATAAAAAAATAAAAATTCATTCTCCCTACAACAGCACGTTATAGCATTTAAAGCCTTCATGGAGTAGAATGGGATGGTTTTTCCTGTACTAAGTGATCCAAAATGGCTTTTCTTGTTGACATTACACAGGAGTTGAATATACTCAACAAGAAGTTACAAGACCAGGGGCAGCTTGTAAGTGTTGCCTACAACAATATCAGTGCATTCTGCACAAAACTTGTGTTATGGCTCTTAGAGAAAGCTCTGCCATTTCCCAACATGTTAAGTACTAATGGGCTCGGGCACACCATTTAGTAGTAAGTATACTGATGCCATTACAAAGCTACAGGAAGAAATTGATCACATGCTTTTACTTTAAGACTTAAAAACACACAGAGCCACTTTTCACATTTTTGCTGACACTTTCTCCTTTAATGTGGAAAATGCTCCCCTGTGCTGAATGGAGCTGATTGAGTTCACCTCTGAGTTCAGGGAGGTGAATAGAAAAAACAGACAAGCATGGAAAATTTATGACAGCATTGCCCTTCATCTTCTCTGAGATTTCCAGGTTGTTCAAGCGGATTATGTGCCTTTTTGGGGAGTACCTATCTGTGTGAAAAGCACTTTTCCACTATGAACTTTAACAGTCAAAGTTTAGGGACAAACTTACTAATGAGCATCTACAAGCTATACCGAGGGTCTCAGTTGCTCCCTCACTCAAGCCGCTGTGTAAGAAGGAGCTCTGCCAGGTCTCTGGCAACAACGAGTAGAGGGAAGTTAGTGAAGCTTAGTTCTTGAGAATCCTTTATGTTTTTATTGGTTATTAATAAAGGTTGAGCAGATTGTAGCAGTTGTACTTTATTGAATTTGTAATAGCTTTTTGTGGAATTCTTGATATTGCCCATTCTCACTCAGACTATACGTCTTGTGGCCGCCGGATGATTTGAGTTTGAGACCCCTGTTTTAAGGTTTGGAGAAAAATAGTCAATGAATGGATGAAGTGTGTACCGGATAATTACATTTTTCAAAGTAAATACTAACTCTGAAAACTTGACAATCGCTTCACTTAGACCTATCCTCTTGATCTTAGTATCAATGTCAACTTCAGGGGGATAATAGTACAAAATCTTTTTTTCCTCCTGTAAGAAAAAACAAGCAGTATAAATAAAATTTAAACTAAAAAAAAAGGTTCTGTTGTCAGGCCCATTTTCTATTTTGTAAAAACTTTTAAAAATAAATGAGCTGATGTTGAAATAATAAGAAAACAATTAATGAAATAATGTTTAGAGATTTTCAAAACTGAATTATTCTCATTTTATATTAAAAAAAAATCAATTTTTAAAAAAGATTTTCAAGATCAGGAAAAGTTCAAAGGTTTCAGTGGTGGAAAAAAAGGTCCATTATCATATTTATTAATATTTTTTAAAGCATTAACTTTTTGTGCTGCCAAATAGATTTTTAATAAAATGTATTTTCACAGCTAAAGGTATTTGTAGACTGTTCTTATGAAATGTTAAAAAAATATCATTTTTAGTTCTTTTTCGTTCACAATAGGTCCTCACTAAAAATAATAAGTTTTAAGCTCCTCAGATCTCATTATCATTTGGTATCTGGGGGCCGCTAAAATACAGTTAGCGACAAGGCTGCTGATGTCTGCCACGGTATATAGGTCATGGAGATGTTCCCTGGTCAACTACCGGCCATAGTTCCATTTTTCAAAAGATTTCAAAATTTAGCTTTGTATTCATTTGATAAAGTTGTTTTTTTCTTCATTTTTTAAATGTTTGTCTTGAAAGAACTGGGAGGACTTCTGGGGAGTCTTCCCTCATCAGAAATTATTTTGTTCCTTATTTTTGTATTGCATTGGGCGGAGGGGGTATCCCCTCCCCATAAAATTATGTTGAAATGTCCCGTTAAATTGCGACATTATATAAAATAATAGCATAAAGGTACTTTGTTTACAACCAATACAAAAATGGAACTTTTAACCATGCAGACATCTTATTTTATGGTGTTCATCAGCAAGGATGAGTTGCTCTTTTAATTTTTGTTTAATCTTGTCATTTAAATTTTAATAAAAACTGAATGAAAAATTTAATTTCAATTTATCTAATATTCTGTATTGATCATCAGATTGTGCCTTTAACGCAAAGAAAAATCAGAAAAGAACGGGAAAGTTATCATTCTCATCGTTCTGGTCCAAGTGTTGGTCCTGTCACCGTAAGTGCAAAGTTAGGATTCCCCAAAGTGACGTCACTGCGCTAAGGGTGAGACAACTCTTGCAAAACCTGTGCCTCTATCTGCACATTTACTTTTACCCAAGAGGGCTGTGTTCACAATGCACATTTACTTTTACCCAAGAGGGCTGTGTTCACAATGCACATTTACTTTTACCCAAGAGGGCTGTGTTACCAAGCCCAATGACCAATGACATTTACTTTTACCCAAGAGGGCCGTGTTCCCAATTTCTTTTCAAAGAAACCCTGCCCAGGTATATCTACCCCATAACACATTCAATTCTAGGTTATCAATAAATTAGTCCCTAAGCCTGAAGCAAGTTTAGTAAATGTTTTGGAATTATTTTTTCTAGTTACTGGTTAGCTCTGGCTCTAGTTCTAGTACAAATTAATTCATTAAACAATTAAATGGTTTTCGCTTAGCCTATTTTTGAATTAAAAGCTCTGTCACTGTTACTATTTAAGTTTAGTAGGGCATAGGCCTGAATATTGAAATAACATACATGGCCTGCCTAAAGCCTAAGTACTAAATATGAATTTGTTTTAAAAAAAAATATTTTAATTATTTTTTTTTAAAACAAATTTTATTATTATTTTAATTAGGTTAAAATTGTACGTTTCCGTTGTGAGTTTCATACCTCTCCTTCTCGTGGACCGTATTCAGTATTGAATACAAAGAAATTGAGAAGCGATATAGTTTCTGAAGCACTGGCACTCATTTTTTAAAAAAATATAACAAAATAATGTTTGTGTTCCCAGTGGTACAATTACCACAGCTATTGTCTTGGCATCACGGTTTGAATAAATGTAATCATGTTATTGTTTTTCCCCATTGCGTCCGCCATATTTGTAGGGGGCAGTACTGTGTTTAAAACAGTATTGACATACTTGAACATAATATTTATTTCCAATCAATGATAATCAAATGAGATACTAATAATAATAATTAATAATAATAGTAGTAGTAGTAGCCTTCAGTATTAAACAAAAAAACAACAAAAAAACAACAACAAACAAACAAACAACTATATTTTAATGAATTGTCGACAACATTGACAGATTCTGATATTTCATATATCCCAATAAGTTTTAACCAGCGTCAACTGATTTATTATTTTAAAAATATGTCCATTTGCCATTGCGTTATTGATTAAAAGTGGCTTGGTCTTGGTTCAATTATTAACCCTTGCCCTATGACCTATATGATTATCTATTGATTATTACGAGATAACATAGAGCAGTTATCAAGTCTGAGATACGACTTAAATAGGACGGATTATTTTAACAGTTAAAGCGTTAAAAAAAAAAAAACATTACAAAAAAACAATGCTTTCTCGCAGTGGCGTCCCTAGCCTTAGGGTTGGTGTCACCCAGTGCGGTAAACTCGTGGTGTACCCCCCCCCCCCCTTTTCCTCAGCATCCATCCCACACCCGAATTTCACAAAGTAATTCCAAACTAGATCCTATAGAATCGATTATAGAAGAAATAATAGAATTTTGGGTAAACACGATTAAAAAAATGCAATCAAAATTACATTTATTATTGATACATGAAACTTAACAGGTAAAACTTGACTTTCCTGGTTTTCAAAGATGCTAACCTGTCAATGATTTCATCAAAATCAACATTCTTCACATTATCACTTTCAACAGACAAATTCGAAAGACCAGTATAAAGGTTAACATGAGAGCGTTATAAAAGTCACCACAAATCATTCTCAACGAATGTGATGACTAAAGAGTTTGAAAACTATTTTTCGTAAAAACTTAACGCATGAAAATGTTGGTATATAGATTATTAATCAATTGACATTTAAACCTTCAACTTTAAATTTTTTTTTATTTATGTCGTCTAGTGGAAGGTGGATGTTCAAAGAAATCTAGCCATATGGTAAATACACCACTGCAAACATTTTCACTGCTATAAAGCATAATCGGATAAAGGTCTTGGAGTTCTGAGAAACACAGGAATTGGAGATCATCATTATCTGTGCATTTTAAATAACTTGGGATTGTGCAGGAGTTTAACCCGGGCCGGAAACACCTTGTCGATATAGATTGAACATTTATGATTACAAATATTTTTGTAAACAAACAAAACAAAAACAAAAAATTTAAAAAAATAAATTAATAAATCAGAGACACCAAAAAGCCCTTCAAATGTTGCAGTTAATTTAAGTTTAAAACAACAAGTGTTTTGTGGCACTCTGTTCTTGTAGCATTCTGTTCTTGTGGCACTCTGTTCTTATGGCACATTTGTTCTTGTGGTGCTCTGTTCTTGTGTCACTCTGTTCTTGTGTCACTCTGTTCTTGTGTCACTCTGTTCTTGTGGCACTCTATTCTTGTGGCACTCTGTTCTTGTGGCACTCTGTTCTTGGGGCACTCTATTCTTGTGGTGCTTTGTTCTTGTGGCACTCTGTTCTTGTGGCACTCTATTCTTGTGGTGTTCTGTTCTTGTGGTACTCTGTTCTTGTGGCACTCTATTCTTGTGGCACTCTGCTCTTGTGTCACTCGGTTCTTGTTGCACTCTATTCTTGTTGCACTCTATTCTTGTTGCACTCTACTCTTGTGGCACTCTGTTTTTGTTGCACTCCATTCTTGAGGCACCATGTTCATTGGGCACCCTGCCTAGATATGCTATGAAACTGATTTGAGCGAGATCTCGCAAATTTGCAATGTTCCCATTGGGCGTTACTGCTCTGGGAGGGTTTCCCCCGGTGCGGCCCACACCCCTCGAGAGACGGCACTGGTGTAACCCCCCCCCCACCCCACCCCCTTTTTTCAGTCAGGCTTCTACATGGGCCTCCTCCAATTCTGTCTGATCTGTTGACACCCTGGTCTTGTGGCAACCCGCTGGTTAATGTAACTTTGATCTGTTGTCAAAGCGAGAGTGTGACCTCTAGCTGTCCGGCGAAACCCCAGTGACGTCACTGCTTTCTCTTATTAACGATTTATCATAATTTATGTTATGACCATTGACGCACATGATTAGAATTAAAAGTTTTCTAGGATTCGGCATTGGTTTAATCGTGCAAGTAATGCAAATTTTAAAGCAAATTTTTGTTCAACCCTTCAGTCGTTCCGAGTGTTTAAACTGTTCCCATATAAATTGAAATGACTAATTAAATTGTACGCCCTAAAGCCGCCAAAGACAAGGGAAATTAAACATTTTGCTTAATAAGAGACATTTTGACAATTTTATCAAAGTAGTTGCGCACACGAATGAATCATAGTCATGGAGCTGCAGTGTAATCACATAGTGTATCAATTAATACCACCCGGGGCCAAAACCTTGTCTAACATGATAGCAAACATAAATTCTTTCCTTATTTTGTATTTTTTTCGATTCATATCTGGCAAAAGTAAAACTTGTTGACGAGAGTTATTCCCCTTTAAAAGTTTTGAAATGGTCCAACTTTGATTCGCATTTATGATACTAATTTTGGAATGTGCTGATATATATCGTGGGTTAAAATTGGGGAATAGGGAATTTTAAATCCAATTAAATTTTCAAAATCTTTCAATATTCATTAAAAATATGTAAAGCAGGATGCCTCTATAAGAGCGAGTAATCACGCACTGTGTAGTCCCATACAGTGTAATCACATACAGTGTAATCACATACTGTGTAGTTACAAAAAGAAACTAGCTTGATCACTGTAAATATGATTTGTATTGTTCAATGAAATGTTGTTAAAAAACATCCAGCTGTACGCTAAAACTGCAATATTACCGATAGCAAAGCCAGAAATGATATAAAGGATTAATAATTGATCATTATTATAGAGATATCATTGCACTTTTTTTTTAATTCCAAAAGTAAATTCAGATAAAATTTACTTTTAATTTTTAATATTAGCTACTCTTTTTTTTTTAAATACAGGATTTTGCCCTCCCCCACCCCCAAGTTCCGCCCACTGCTTACTCTTATAGGGCAGGGGTCGGGAACCTTTTTGTCTGAGAGAGCCACGGACACCATATATTTTGAAAAGTAATTCTATGAGAGCCATACATTATGTTTAAAACTAAAAATTGTTGAATATTTTTAGAATGAAATATTGATATGCAATTAATATGCAGATCAAAGGAGTCTAAAGAAACATTTTTTTTTTATAATCGAAAATTTGTCTGCGAGCCAGATGTAGCCATCAATAGAGCCACATCTGGCTCGCGAGCCATAGGTTCCCGACCCCTGTCTTTGGGTAATAGTTTTTTCTTGTCAAGCTGCTTTAAGGTCAAAACTCTCCCATTACCATTTTGCAGTGACGTTGACATTAGCATCATCTAACATTATAAAGCAAACATTGATAAGAGCTTACTGCCGCCAAAAAAAAAAAAATGTCACCGGTTTAACATACACATACATATTATGCAGTATGGTCAGTGAACCTTTCTCAGACGCTGACCTGTGATGTGTCTCAGTCAATCTTAGTGGAGGCTGAATCTGCCGCAGTGCATGCTGGTCAGTGAATTTTTTTTAGACGCTGACCTGTGATGCATCTTAGTGAAGGCTGAATCTGCCGCAGTGCATGCTGGTCAGTGAATCTTTCTTAGACGCTGACCTGTGATATGTCTTACAGTGCATGCTGGTCAGTCAATCTGCCTTAAAATTGAATAGAATGGACCTGGGGTACTCCCGAATCGGGTTCGAACATATTTGCCAAAAATTAATTCTCTCTAAACTTTAGGCCTCATATCCTAATTATTATTATTATTTTTTTTTAATCTGGGGTGGGGGAGGGGGGGGTTGAGGGCGTGTATAATAAACAGTTTAAACATCGCCATATAAATCAACATACAATAGAAAACACGTTTTAAAATGTTTTTTTGTTTTTATTTCAGTGTAGTGTACGGTGGTCTAACCGCAATTTTAACGTTTATTTGGAAAATAACCCACGCACTGATTCCAGGAATCGAAAACAAATTTTCTTAGAAAAGGTATGGGCCCATAAAAGAAATAGAAAATGGCTTCATTCTTGGCGGCAAAATGAGTGTTTAAAAAAAAAAAAAATGTAACTAGCGTCTGGCGGTGTAGAATTAGGGGGGGGGGGCAGTTTCCTGTCGCAGCTAAGGTGCAGCTAAGGTTCGGAGGGTTCTTAAGTTATCCAAGGAAACGAAAACAAATTTTCTAAGAAAAGGTATGGGCCCATAAAAGAAATAGAAAATGGCTTCATTCTTGGCGGCAAAATGAGTGTTTAAAAAAAAAAAAAATGTAACTAGCGTCTGGCGGTGTAGAATTAGGGGTGGGGGGCAGTTTCCTGTCGCAGCTAAGGTGCAGCTAATGTTCGGAGGGTTCTTAAGTTATCCCATTCGTAAGTGGTGATGCGTGACAACCAAAGTTGATACGGATGTATTGGTTTAACGAATGTCCTTTTCAAATTCTTGCGAAGGTTTGCGTCTGGCTGCCTCATCGGAGTTCATCCATCTTCAATGGTCACCGAACGCGCTGCGACTACGCAAATGTGTCATATTATTTTTAATGACAGAAGCTAGAAATTAATTTTGATTATATATATATATATATATATATATATATATATGTATATATATATATATATATATATATATATATATATATATATATATATATATATATATATATATATATATATATATATATCTAATCTTATATTGAAGATCATAATTTTGATAACTAAAAATAGTAACAAAAAGACCCCCCCCCCCTCCGATATCTTTAACAGGGTGGGCCACAGGGTGGTTTGAGGGCTTCATGGGCAACATATTTGAAGCTTTAGCTTTAGATTGGCGGGCCTAATTCAAGTGTCGCGTTACAGTTAAGGTAGATTGTGACAGTTGCTCTCATGACAAAATCTGCCAAAAATCTGCTAGGGAAATTCCAGGTGCA